GAGCCCGGCTTTGGCTTTACATCCCTTAGGGAAGCGGGTGCAGGGATGCGCTCGGCGAGCCGGGCACCGGTGCCCGCGCGGTGCCACCGAGGATTTAAATGCCGAAAGACGTTCCTCAGAGGAGCAGTAAATAGTTAAAAGCAAATATAGGTTGACAGCCTGCTGCTTTGTCCCGCAGAAAGCCCCTGCATCCCTAGAGCCGGTGCTGCCGTGCTGGAGCCGTGTCCAACAGAGCCGTGCTGGGGAGCAGGCGTCGAGCCTGGCACTGTGCCCTTTTTGAGGGGCTGGTGGGGGATGCTGGGGTGACACGTGTGATGCCCTGGGCACTGACTCGCTGCAGGGGCCTGGCAGAGCCTCAGGGAAACTTCTCCCAGAGCTGATGCTCTCGGAGTGTCGAGCTGGGGGTACGTGGCTGGGCAAGGGGGTACCCTAAAGCGGGCAGCACCCCATGGGCAATGCTTATCCTCATTCCCTCATCACTTGCAGCACGAGGGGAAGGCTCCGCATCTGCTGGTGATGGGGCTGGTGCGGGGCCATCAGGGTGGGATGGGAAAGGGGAGGGCGAGTGAGACCCGGAGGTTTTCTCCACCTAAACCACTGCGTTCCCACGGCTCAGCTCTGGAGCAAGGAGCCTGTGAACAGAGTCCAGCCTCTGGCACAGAAACTGCTCCGGGTGCTCTGGCAGGAAGACGGCACTTCTCCCTCTCCCCTGGGCATTCCCTCGTGCTCCCACTGCCGAGGAGGGGGGCTTCGCTGGGGCAGCAGCTCCCCAGCCCCGGGTTTGTGCGCTGAGCTGGAAGGGCAGAGGGACATGGGCAGAGCCGAGTGCTCCAGGATGGTCTCAAGGAGCTAAATGCAGCAGATGCCGGGGCAGACCCACCACCACCCCGCTGCAGCCTGTGTCTCCCCCTTCCCACCCTGCGGTGTAGAATGGGGACCGGGAGGGCTGGATGTGTGCTGCCCTGCTCCTCCTTGTGCCTTGGTGCTGGAAACCCTGTCACCTGCCCTGCCGGGTCCCATCAGCTCGGACAAGGGGAGGTCCCCAGCACCCTCCCACCTCCGGTTCCCCCCCTCTCACTCACC